TGTCTAGGCTGAGGCTGCAGACTTAGTAAAAGCACCTTTGTCAGAGCTCAAGAGTAACAAGTTCCTTTAATTTCATGTCTCTTGTCTCCAATGTCTTATGGAAACATAATTTTTTTTTTAATTCAACCTATGCTGGAAAGGTATTTGATAGAGACTGATGATCCATTTAGCTGATCTGTAATTTTATATGGTGCTAGCACCTTTAGAAACTTATTTGAGGCACAGGCCAAAAAACATTTAAGAGGAAAATGGAGCAAAATGCCTAAATTTTTCAGAAGTAACATTTCTTCATTTAGCCCCCAAACTGTATAGACCAGTTAATTTTTCACTTTCTTTTTATTTAATTAAGATTCTGCTATCTTAAAGTCGATTCAAAATAGAGGAAATGTGAGGGAGCATATGGAATAGCGCATCAAAGTAATAGTAATTAAGGTGAACACACTGACTCTTGTTATTGTCTGAATGGACTGTGATATTCACAATACTTAATTAAGAATAATGTTGGTGTTAATTATAAATATTATCAGATATCATAAGTAAATATGACCATTATTTGAGAGATACGATACTTTCCTAAGCAAAATGCAAGACTGTAATCATAGTTCTCTGAAACCTTTATCATTGAGCCCAGCGTTCTCTGCTCATTTCTTATCAGCTCCTGCAAAGTTCACTGCAGTTTTCCTTGGTTGGGGTGCAAACCCTGCTAAAACTCTGTGTTCGAAGAGACTGAAACTTGAAGGATTGTATTTCGTTCTCATTTATTTGGAAATGGGGGAGAACTAAATTAACTTTTGATGCTATTCCACATCTCATGTATTTTGTTACTTGCTTGATACTAGTATTTCTTTCTAATTTTTTGCCTGGAAAAAGAAAAGTAAATATTCATTTATTTCCTTTTCTAGTGCCAAGTTTTAAATAAGCTGAACGAAATTCCTCAAATAGTCCATTCATGACCTAAGTGCACAGGCACATTTTCTGAGGATAGAAAGTGCCATTTATATCCCCTCTTTCTTGGTTTTTGGATCATTTGCTATATAAATATAAAGTAGGATACAACTTGGGGCTCCTGGGTGGCTCAGTTGTTGAGCGTCTGCCTTGGGCTCAGGTCGTGATCCCGGGGTCCTGGGATCGAGCCCCGCATCGGGCTCCCTGTTTGGCGGGAAGCCTGCTTCTCCCTCTCCCACTCCCCCTGCTTGTGTTCCCTCTCTCGCTCTTGCTGTCTCTTTCAAATAAATAAATAAAATATTAAAAAAAAAGTAGGATACAACTTAAATGTTAAAAGAGTAATTTTAAATATAAGACTAAATGTAATATTTTGAGACATTTAAGAAATTTTGTGTTTACTATCACCTTGCTTTTCTTTATAAATTTACTCTATCTGCATATATCCATTATATATTGTTTTGTTTTGCCTGTTTTTGCACTTGGTAAAAATAGAAGCATACTCTGAATTCTTGAAAAAGATTTTTCTTTAAAGTTATATTTTTGAAATTAATCCAACTTGAGGTACCCAGACATTTTTTACTACTACATAGCATTCCACCAAATGAACATAAAAATTCTGCATTCTACGGTTGATGCATTTTGAGTTTTTTCCTGTCTTTTGCTTGTCTTGAGCATGTCTCCTGGTGTACCTGTGCATGTTTCTCTGGAATATACTTAAAGGGGGATTAATGGGTCGTGGATATGTTAGTAAAGTCTAGGTAATGCCAAATTGTGGTATTGCTAATCAATGTCATCACTATCAGTTTCTCCATATCTTCACCAATACTTGGTATAAGTTTTGCCAGTCGACTGGATAGAAAATAATATCCCACTCGTGACTTTGCCTTGCATTTCTTTTATTTTTTCCTACTGATGAGGTTGAGCATCTTTACGTGTGATCACTGGCCATTCAGACTTCATCTATGAAATGTTTGTATCTTTTGCCCATTTTTCAAATTTTTTTTTGCACTTTCTTGCAGGTTTATAGAAGTTCTTCATGTATTCTGAATCACAATCCTTTGTCAGTTATATGTGTTGCAAATTCCATATTTCTTTTTTATTTCAGCCTATTTCAGTTCATTTGTTCCCATTTTTCTTTATTGCCCCTCTATCTGTCATGTCACAGAATATGAAAAAGGCTGCACACCCAATACTGTCTCCACAGGTAAATACTACCACCTGAGCAATTTGTATACTTTGGGTACCTGCCAATATCAAGCAAAACGAGATAACTGTTTAGAGTTGTAGTAATCCAGCCTTCTGTCAGCCATAGCTAATCCAGAAAATCATGGCATAGTCCTCATTGACTTTTCGTAAACATACTATATTTTTGTTTTTCATTGTAACATAATTTTTAACTTTTTTGTTTGAATATAGTTGACACATGATGTTACATTAGTTTTAGGTGTACAACATAGTGATTCAACTTCTCTATGCATTAAGTGATGCTCACCACAAGTGTAGCTACCATCTGTCACCATACAACACTATTACAGTATTACTGACTATATTCCCTTTTCTGTGTCTTCGATTCTCTTGACTTACTCATTCCATGGGAGCCTGTATCTCCCACTCCCCTTTACCGATTTGCCATTCCCCGCTACTCCCTTCCCTTTGGCAGCCATCGGGTTCTCTGTATTTATAGGTCTGATTCTGCCTTTTGTTACTTTGTTTATTCATTTGACTAAAATCACATGTTATTTGTCTTTCTCAGCTTGACTTATTGTGAAATAGTTTTTTTTTAAATAGCACGTTCTTTTTTTCCATCATTTAAAAATTAACTAGGTTAGTTAGAGCAAGAGTTAGCAGTGCAAACTTCAGAGTACAAATTTGACATCTCTGTAATTTCCTAAGCTTGATTTGTGTAATGCTTTCCTTTATACCTTGAATTCAAAGTTCCTTCCTGCCTCTCCTCATCAACACACATGCACACACACAAACATCCCACTTCCTACACCTCAGTTTTAAAGCCCAGGCTTATGTAAGATCTAATATCTATCTTCCTTATGGCTCAGAATTACCCTTCTCAAAATAGTAGCCTATAAATTCCTTCTTTCTAAAGCTCACTCCTAACACAGTCACATAGAGATTTTTACTTCTAAATAATAATTTCTGTTTTACAAACTTATTTTTTAAATGATCCATGCTCTTTTCCTCCCAACATTTCTAGACTTCCAATCAGTCATACAAGATTAAATAAATATTTAGAGAAGCCATCAGAAGGCCTGGAGACTTGGTGCTGCCACATAACAAATTTTCCTTCTTGTTGCAGGGTGGGGATTGGGTCTATAGTTTATAACCATTCTAAGCTACGTTCATCAAGGTCCAAGTGACCTTTTTAAAGAAGTTGCATATATGTGTTTGTATGTAAAATGTTAAAGTAAGACTTGAGTGAAATCAAAAAGGTAGTTTCCTGTTATCAAGGAAAGGTACACCATCATTCTGTACAACTTCCTATGAATATGACAATATTACTGTATTTGAAGCAAACATGGATTTGGAAGGATCATCTTTCAAAATTAGAATATTTGAAGTTGACATGTGATTTATCATTTTGTTGAGTATCTTAAATTATAGGCAGTTGTATTTTGTTTAATATCATGAGCATCCCATGGCAACCATCCTAATGTTTAATACCATCTGGATCTCTACAACTATCATAGGCCATCACTTTGATTCATTTCCTTTTCCTTTTCTATATGTAATTCCTTATCTTGTGTAAGGCAGAGTGATGCCTCTCAAGTTATCTGGAACTTTCTCTAGTTTCCCAATCTGATGAAATCCATAAAATAATAAAATTGTTAAAATGGAACTGAAATTGAAAATGTTGAGTAAGACCTTTCCTTGTTTTGGAAAGCTTGTGTCAACATATACATCTATTGAGATACTATGACTGGAGAGTTATTTTGGATTGAAAATGAGCATATATGGGGGCACCTGGGTGGCTCAGTCAGTTAAGCGCCTGCCTTCGGCTCAGGTCATGATCCCGGGGTCCTGGAATTGAGCCCCAGGTCAGGCTTCCTGCTCAGCGGGAAGCCTGTTTCTCCCCCTCTGCCCCTCCTCCTGCTCGTGCTCTCTCTTTCTCTCTCTCTCTAATAAATAAAATCTTTAAAAAAAAAAAAGGCTGGAGGCCCCAAAATATTAAAGAAAAAAAATAAAATGAACATATATGCCATTTTTAAGGCTGACTGATGCTTAATTTTGAATGTCAAATAATGGCTCTTAAATGTTATACTGTGATGAATACAAATCATTATTTTGATTCAAGGACTGGATCAGGGGTGCCTGGGTGGCTCAATCGGTTAAGGGTCTGACACTTGATTTCGGCTCAGTTCATAATCTCTTGGTCCTGAGATCTAGCCCCAAGTCAGACTCTGTGCTTGGGGTTGGGGTGAGGAGTAGTCTGCTTGAGATTCTCCCTCTACCCCTCCCCCCTCTCCAATAAATAAAATCTTTTTTAAAAAGAGGACTGGAAAAGACCTATGCAGAGTTGACCCTTGAGCCAGTGTCAATGAACAATATTGAGAGATTTCTTAGTTTTGATTTTTCTCACCTTTCAATTTCTATTTTTGGCCAAAAAAGTATTTAAGAGTCGAATAGGAGACAAACTTTAAAAATACTAGGAAAAGAGTAGTAATAATAATTCTGGATATAAACCATTGCTTGGATATTAACCAGTATTTGATTTCTAAGAGAGTAGAGGTTAAGGGAATAAGTGAAATTACAAGGAGAAAGGGGTATAGTGTAGGTCGAGCTCTTCATGAAAGAACCAGTCTTTTGGGACAGTTTCTTAGGAAGCCCACATTTTGTTCATGGATCATTCATTGTGTGACTAGGTGGCCAGTATTAGAATGGATTTTACCTCACTGCCTGCCTTTTTTGCTGGGTTACCACTTGCCATTTGAGGAGAATGTAGGATACAGTAGTGAGCAGTGAGTGAATTTCATTTGATTAGAAATCGATTGGATACTCTACTGGTCTTGGCTCTCTTAAGCCTCTCTTCATCTGACCTCTAAATGTTGATGTGCCTTGGGAATTGTATTAGACTGTCTACACTCCCTCTCCAAGTGATTCCATTGAATTCTGTAACTTGACAACTCCCAAATTTATCTCTCCAAAGATTCTCAGCTCTAGTTTCATATATCCAAGTGTAGACTTGATAGCGCTCTCTGAATGTCTCTTAGGTGCCCCAAACTATGTGCAAAATGTAGCTAATTCTTGATTTTCCATTTCTGAAAATACCATTCCTTTTTCAGTCTTTCCTGTCACAGTCACAATCTACCTGGTTGCACAAAACTAAAACCTGGGAGGCACCCTTATTTATTTTTCTGTATTCCTTTATTCCAGTTAATGAGCCCAACCTCTCTGGACCTCACTCAGTTTACTCACTGTACAATTAAAGTAATACCTTTTTGTAGTAATATGTTGGGAGATTGAATGAGTTAAATAAATGTAAAGTCTTTAAACAGTGCTTGACATATAGTTAGCACAGTGTGATTGTAGCTACTGCTGCTGCTGTTATTACTTTTTACTGTTTTACTATTACTCCCCCAACAGAGTCAACACCCTGATCAAAACCACCATATTCTCTCCCATGGACCACTGCAATGGCTTTCTGATTTCTGTGCTTCCTTCTTATTTTGCTAGAATCTATTCTCCACACAGAGAGGGCATTCTTTTAAAAATAGATCATGTCACCCTTCCCTGCTTTACACCCTTCAGTGCCTTCCCATTGCTCTTAGAATAAAATTCATACACAGCGCTGCATGACCTGGCTCCTGTCTGTCTCATCAAGCTCACTCGTTATGCTCCAGTCTCCTATCTGTTCCTCAAATTAACCAAGCCTCCTCCCCCTACCTCCCCCTTTCCTCAGGCTTTCACGTTCCTTCAGCCTGGAATGCTCTTCCTTCAACTCTTAAAATGTCTAGTTCATTTGCATTTTGGGGGGGTTCCAGCTCAACTGTCATTTCAGAGTCACCTCCCCAGACTTTTCTTTGCAAAATGGCCTCCCCTTTTCTCTCTCATATTGCCCAGTCCATTTTCTTCATGGCTTTACAGTAGTGTGTAATTATCTCATTTGTGTATTTGTTTACTGGTGTTTGTGGTTGATCTCGCCAACTAGAATATAATATCCAAAGGACAGAGACCTGATCTGATTTACTTCCTTGAAGTGCCAGTCACATAGTACATGTTCAGAAAATTTTTATCAAATGAATGATAATCTCTGACAAGGAAAGAGAACTTTGCAAAAGGAGAATCTGAAGATCCACTGTGGAAATTTTTCTTTTGAAATTTTGTAATTCTTTGCTAAAGATTATTTTCAGTAGTCACGTCTTGAGAATTTTGCTTGCTTGTTTAGACATTTATTCCTCTCTAAATAGATTATAGAGAAACTTGTCCATCAGTGAGCCAAAGAAAAAAGTAGGTTGTGATTAGATGTTACCATGAACTTTTCTCTCATATAATAAAGGGGTTGAAGTAGTGCTGGTCCAAGATAATGGTCGAGGTACATATAAGATCTCATGCCCAAATGCTGTAGGCAGCCTCTTTCCTGTCCACCATATCGGGGAGTGAGTTTGCCTTATGCCAGTTGTGAAACTGGGTATTGTCCAGATGGTTGAAGATTCCCATTCTCCAGCAGAGGGCAGAAACCATGCAGGGATATCCGAAAATATAATTATTTAAGAAATAAAAAGTAAAGTCATTTGAGTGATCTCAGTTTGTGTCTTGTGATTTTTATTTCACTATGTACAAAAGATTCAAAATGTGCTCTTGCCTAGGGAAGAAAGTTCTTTGTCAACCCTAAGATAATATTATACATCATTCTTTACACTTTTTGAAAGTTATAGACCACCACAGTCTCTATCCTGAGATAGGGAAGAAAGGCAGGAATGTTTCCAGAAAATTTGGGATAACAACTCTAATGGAAAGAGGGTGGGGATAAGAAGAAAGATTTGGGGTTAGGAGTGGAGAAAGAAAAAATATAGCAGTTCTTGGCAAAACAGGATATATAGTTTTATTCAGAAACTGTCATAGCATAAAATAAAAACCCCCAAATGGGAGGCCCTCAGGAAAATCCTCTACAAGGCCTGACAGTCCTGACACTGATGTATCTTGATGTTTCCTTCTCACATGGAATTAACAGACTATGACTATGTTCTTCAAGTATATATAAGGTCTCTTTGAAAGGGTTCCTTTCAAAAAAGTAGCCTGAATATCTGCGCTGAGAAAAAATATATTTAGAGTACCTGAAGATTCTCTACTAAAACTTCTTCGTTTATGGGTTTATATACTTATATAAATTAATTGAAGAGAAAGCCATCTCTTTGAATTCCCAAATAAAGCAGAGGAAAGTAATGTTAATTTTTGTTTAAGAAAATGAAATGTGCCCATTCATACCTATCTCCTTGTACTAGAATCAAATGAGTTATCTCAACCAAGAGATCCAAGACTATTCAGACTATCAAAGAGTCCTACCTTTAGGAAAAGGCTGAAAACAACACTGATAACTGGGTGTTGTTTAGCATTGAAGTGATAGGGAATAAAAGAACAGTGAAACTTCAGTCTCTGGGTCTTGGGACTTCTGAAATATCCATCTTACACATTGAAATGAATCTAAGTCCAGCCTCAAAGTGGGGAGTCTTCCCTAATTTGGGCAAGCTTTAAGAGTCTCTAACTCAAAATCGTGACTAACTATAATTCAGTATTTATGAATGTGTTCTTTTTATATAGCTATAAAAAAGCCTCCATCAGTCTTAAAGAATGATGATGATCTCTGTGAGTTAAGTTGTAGCCAAACTTGTTGAAGACTACTTGCTTTTTTTTTTTTCTTTTGTTCAACTAGCATGGATCTTGATGGCTCTGAACAAGATCCTGAAATGAAGGAATATTCTTCTGTCTATGTTGGCAGAGAAGAGGACATTAAAAAATCTGAAAGAATGACAGCTGTTGTCCATGATAGAGAAGTGGTCATTTTCTACCACAAAGGAGAATATCATGCTATGGATATTCGCTGTTACCGTAAGAGTTTATTTTTCATTTGTAAACCTTGTATATTTGTTTACTAACCACAAAACTATCAAAATTTCAGGCTTTTTTTTTTTTAGTGACTAGATGTAATATTCGATTTCTTTTCAGACTCAGGAGGACCTTTACATTTGGGAGATATAGAGGTATGTAAAGTTAAATCTATCTTCTACAAATTCACATATTTCTTATTTATGTTCATTTCATTCTGTATGCAAAAATAATTTATATTTGGGTTTGAACTGTATTTTAATGCTTTGAGTATAATTGCTAATATTCCAGGAATTCCAGGAACTGTGTTTTAATGCTTTGAGTATAATTCCTGGAATATTAGCAATTATACTCAAAGCATTAAAATGCTTTTTATTGAGCTTTCTGTATTGAGCTTTCTACAATGTAAAGAATTGTACATTGTACACAAAGCTTTCTGTATTGAACTTTCTACAACTGTAAAGAATTGTAAAGAATTCAGTATTGAGCTTTCTACAATGCAAAGAAAACTGTTTCACAGATAAATAGGGGACGTATGCATGGCTTCTGACCTTGCATTATACTCTGAGATATCTACCCTACAGATATCATTGCACAAATGTTCAAGTATATATATCGGAGAGGTTTACTGTGGCATTATTTGTTGCAATGAAAAATTGAAGGCAACCTAAATGTTTTAACAATAGGAAACAGTTTAAATAAACTGAATAGCCATGCTGTGGAAAACTATGTAACAACTGCCTCATTAATTTATGAGGCACATCTGTATGTGTTGGTATGGAGGGATGTCAGCAATATATTTTTGAGTGAAAAAAGCAAGTCATAGAATGATAGGTCTAATGAGATCCCACTTTTTAAATAAAAAATAATATTCACTTTGTACTTTATACACTTCTACACAGTTTGAGTTTTTTCAGTGAGTATATATTACATGAATAATGTAGTAAAAATATAAATATGTATATTTTAAAAGGGAACCACACACTGAAGGCTTATTTGAGGAAGGAATGCGGGGAACTTACTTCCTTGCATTCCCAAACTGGCTAGCTGCCTAATTTCTTGTTTTCTACCTCATAAAACTGACCTTTCTCTATCCCTCCCCTTCCCGCCACCCCACCCCACCCCCCGCACTGGTACAAAATACAAGGTGAAACTTAGCATTCCACTCTCTCTATACTTCATATCTACCTACTTCCACACCTGTCCTCATGTTAAAGGACATATGTGTGCTTAAATAATGAACATGGATTTATGAATTAAGAAAATGTGATGTTTGTTGACTGGTCTGTGGGGGTACAAGATCAGTATTACTGCACTTCTGGTGTAGAGAAACAAATGTAAGCACCTAGTGATGATAATGTGAAAGAATTTCCTTCCGTTTTGGACCATAATGAGACCTGTAAGACTTTGCTACTTAACGTGTGGTCCATAGACCAGCAACATTGGTGTCACCTGGGAGCTTCTTGGAAATACAGAATCTTGTGCCCTACCTTTGGACTACTGAATTTAAACAAGATCTGCATTTAAACAAGATCCAGGTGATTCCCATGCTCTTTAAAATTTGAGAAGCACTGACTTAACACAGTTAAAAAGTTGGGAATTGACTACTTTGGATCACAAATTGCTCTTCAGTTAACATATACACTCGTGCCTTTAGTAACCTCTCTTAAATTTATATTTGAAGCTTACCATTCTTCTAGCAGCTAGTGAAAGCTCCTTTAGAAGCACTTGATACCCTTGCCCCATTTCTGTCAAGGAAGTGACATTAACATCTAATAGATAACATCATAGCTTCAGTCACATGGTATAGTTGCCTGAGCTCATTTTCTGATAGAGTTCTAACACACTGGGTTTATAATCAAATGCAGTAGGGACTTGATGACTGCTAAGATTAGGTTCTGCCTTATGCTGAATAATTTGTAAATGGAAGGAAAAAAGAGAAGCTGGCCTGTTCTTTAACCTGGTTTTTCTGCAACAGAATCTGTTCTGAGTCTGAGATTTATTGTGAATGTTGGAAATGTCAGACTATTAAATCATTTATTTCCTTTCCCAGGATTTTGATGGACGACCATGTATAGTTTGCCCCTGGCATAAATACAAAATTACTTTGGCAACAGGAGAAGGACTGTATCAGTCTATAAACCCTAGAGATCCATCAGCAAAACCCAAGTGGTGCTCCAAAGGAGTAAAGCAAAGGATCCATACGGTGACGGTGGACAATGGGAATATTTATGTGACTCTTTCTAATGAACCTTTTAAGTGTGACTCTGATTTTTATGCCACTGGAGACTTCAAAGTAATTCGGAGTTCTTTCTGATAAAACTATATGGCAATGAAAACTGTTGTGTATGTTTTGAATATATTAGAATAACTGTGCTTCACTACCAAAGAGTATTAATTTTTCCAACATAGGCACATTTATTACTTATCTTAAAAATCACATAAAGCTGAGCAGTTCAAAAGTACATATATTTAGTGTGATGGAAGGATTATTATCAGGGTCTATAGAATACATTTCATAGTCCTCTGGATTGACTGGAACCTGAAGGTTATAGGTTTGGAATGTGCATTTTAAGAAGGGTGAAAATATTTGCAGTAACCACAGTGAAGGAAAGGTAAAAAATTAGATCTAATAAAAAATATGGGGGAGGTAATCCCTATTTTGATTAGCAGCCTTTATCATGCAAAAGTTTTAATATACACAAACTAAACAGAGTAGCATAATAAACTCTCATCACCCAACTTCAACAGTTATCAGCATTCTTCCCTTCTTCTATTCTTGTATTCTTGTTTCACTGATACCTCGACACATTCTCCACCTCCCCCTGCCATTTGGTTGTTATTCTTCCTTTTCATAGGTAAAATTTAAATACACTGAAATGCTTAAATCTCAACTAGTCAATTTTTCCAAATATAGAGTAGACTTTTTACACTTAAAACAATGCCTCCAAAATGGGATCAATTTACAATGCTTCGTTTAAAAATAAGAAACTTATTCAAGATTTCCATACAACACCCAGTGCTCACGACAAGTGCACTCCTTAATCCTCCTGTACTGCACATCGAAACCAAACAAATCTTGGCTCAGTTTCTTTCTGGTCAAAGCAAATACTCTCAAAGTAAGGAAGACACACACAGCTGCTGCCCAGCCATGAGAGATGTGAAGTTTCTTATTCAGTGAGCCAAAGTACTTTGAATGTCCTATGTGAAATTTTCAAACAAAGGTTTGTTTTTGTTTTGTTTTGTTTTGTTTTTGAGAATGTTGTAATGTAGTAGAACTAAGTGTTTCACGTAACTGTTACAGAGAAGAGATAGAGGGTGTTGTTCCTTAGTCCTTTCTGCTGAGTTCACAGGCAGGGTCGATGTTCAATTGGCCCACCCTGCTTTCATAGGCCCGTTATTTATGGCCAGCACTATTCTGGTTGCCTGGTGCCCACACTGTACTGTAACACTCTGGGTGCTTATCATCTAAAACTCGGCAGCATACAGTAGAATATAACCATAAGTAGAATAAGAACCAGGATGATCACATCATGAATTCAGAGTACGAAAAACTGTTTGTCAAAATTGGAATTTTGTCTCTAAGCACAGTAATCTTCTTAGTGGCCTAGGATTGAATTAAAGCCCCAGACCTAATACTGAACGTTCTAGGGGGGCCACTTGGACTCTTTCCCTTGGTTTCGTAAAAATAATAAGTGAATTAAGTACCTATAATTAAGGGTCTGCTTACAGAGGAGCCCTTTGCTACATATTATTACATTTCCTTTTCTGATGGAATATGGGTAACATGAGGTGATAGAACACTTGTTACTCATTTCTCAGACTACTAAAAAGCCAAGATTTGGCTTTTTATAAATACTTTTATGGCAGTAGCTATTTACCAGGTACAGGAAATGTATTATCACTCGATGGGTAAATCATAGCCTATTATATCAGGTGCTAATCCTCCAATGACCACTCAGGTCATAACACGTGTCCAGAATTTAAGACGTGTGGAAGAAACCAAAGTACCTCCTGCAGGCAAAACAGTGGCCCTCATTTGCAGGGCCAGTTACAGAAGCATTTTCTCTCAGGACCCAGTGGCAACAATGAGTAATATGGACTTGATTTCTGGTTCTAAATGTGTTCCAACAAATCTGGAAATAAGAAAATGTCATGTCATATCCTACCCTCACATATAGAAATTTTCTATAAGATTTGTAAATAATATTTTGTTTTATAAATTTATTACATCTGAGAATTATAAGTCCTTTATAACTTTACAGATGAGTTTAAAAAAAGAATCGATAATAGGCAGATTCAAACTATTCAGCCTATAGATAGAAAATAAATATCCTTTTATTATCTCTGAAGAAGATATGTAGCATTTTGATATGGAGGGTATTTTCCCTCCAGATGAATACAGTTGACCCTTGAACATTGTAGGGGGGGGCGGTACCAACCCCACACACAGCTGGAAAATCCACATATAACTTTAGACTCCCCAAAAACTTTACTAATAGTCTACTGTTGACTGGAAGCCTGACTGATTACATACACAGTTGATTAACACATATTTTGAATGTTCTATATATTATATAATGTATTCTTAAGGTAAGCTAGAGAAAATGTTAAGAAAATCATACGGAAGAGAATATAAATTTCCAGTACTATAATTTATTTATCAAAAAAGATCTGCATATAAGTGGATCTGCACAGTTCAAACCCATGTTCAAGGGCCAACTGTAATTGGAAAGGTACTTGAAACAGGTCTTTATAAAAACATAAATGTATTATAAATATACCCATGTTATAAACGATAGCATAAAGTCTAACCCTCCAAAGGGTTCACTTTCTTGTTCATTAAAAAATATCATAGTCATACTTCTACATCAAGATTCATTTTATTTTCTCTACCATATAAATACTTGAGAATGACATTTTAGTAGTTCCCCACCCCTTTTTTAAAGCAGAGCAGTCAATATATGAAAACTCGTTTCCTGGTTTTGTCAGATGAAATGTGATTAGATAATAACTCTCAAGCTCCACTCAGTGATATTTATGTTCTGATTTGCTCATTCATTCATTTCAGCTGATTGGTCAAACACAGAATGTAAAACCTGGATCTTATTATTCAACTTATTAGCAGGAAGTTTGGGGCGATCTGAAATATTGTCTGGTTTCTCCGGTAATGACCTGTAAGGTTTTGCTTTGATTTCACTTTCAGGAAATGTAGGCTTAGAAAGCACAGGCTCAGAAAAGGCTTTTCTAAGATTTTCACTCTCTTCTCTGTTTTGCCTTATGGATTCTTCTTCTTGGAAAATTTTCTTTACCTTCTCCAGCACAGCATTAACACAGACTGTCTAATAATAAAAAAAATATATATTTGCAAAGCAAAGTTTCTTTTTAAGCTACTGAACTTCTAGTAATAAGTCCAATAAAATGTGTAACATAAAGTCATCAAATCTACTTATTCTAATAAAGAAGCACTTCCTTTCCTGGCACATGATAAACATCAGGAGATTGATTCCTTGTTCTAAATATATTACACCATCATCTAGAAAGAAAACTAAAGCATAGTATGCTTCAGTAAAGACATGTTTTACCTCTTCCCCCCCCCAATTCATTAAATGTTTTTTATCTTTACTCTCGGATTTAATTAAATGAGACTCTTTTCTTCTGAATTAAATGACACATTTTCTGCGAGTTGGAATTTGTCCTCAAATGTGTTAATATCTCAAAGTAGGTTTCTTGTTTATACTTTCTCCCCCTATGCTTTGCTTATACCTATGTGTACAATTGAAAGGGCATAAACACATTAGTTGGAATTTAGTAAGCTAGTTGATAAGTGATTTCTAAGCAAACACATGATCCATTTTCCCTCAAAAAATGCCATTCAGTACTTTAAGTGTCAAAACAAAACACACAGAGAAATACAACTGAAAATTGGGAATCAGTAAGAACTATAATGATGAAGATGATGATGTTGCTAAGTATTTAAGGCAAGCAACAAGAATAATAAAATCCATAAAATATGAGAAGACCTAGACTAGCTTATCTCACCAAAGCAATAGCTAAAGCTCACATAATAGGCTACAAGCTCTTAGAAGGTTTTCCTAAAGAGGGCAATAGAGAAAGGATTGGGGGCCTTGGCTGACCAACCTCAATTTCTTCCCGATCTCCGGCCTCCCCTTTTCTTGGCCCGTGCCCCACTATAGAATGAGGGAATACCAGATGCTTTCCTTCACTTCCCTGCAGGTCGTATGTGGTCATGTGACCCTGTTTTAGCCAACGAGATAAAATATATCTGCTGGGGAGGAGGTCAGGAGGGATTTTTGAGTTTTTCTCCTATATAAAGAAAGACTCTGTCTTTTGCCTCTAACTACCCGCTCCCCCCTGCTTTGGACACTGATGCAGATAGGATGTCCGAGCCTGAGGAGGCGAGGACCAAAAACAATAAACAAGACAGCACAGGAGAAAGATGGAAAGGCCCTGGGTTCAGATAACATCGTAGATCCACTGTACAAACCTGGGAACCATCGAACTCTAGACTTCTGATTAACTGAGATATTTAAATGTCTTCATCAATTAAGGCACTGCCAGGTATTTTTGGTTACTTGCATCCAAGTATATCCCAACCTAGAGCTATAAACCTTGAGGTCCATCACTTCCAGCTGCAAACAGCTTCATCCATTTATCCCCCAGTAGGATCATTTTCTATGTATGCCTTGTTGTGAAAAAAGATTAGGGGGGCACCTGGGTGGCTCAGTCTGTTAGGTATCTCAACTCTTGATTTTGGCTTAGGTCATGATCTCAGGGCTGTGAGATCGAGCCCCCTGTGGCGGGACCCAGGCTGGGCATGGAGCCTGCTTAAGATTCTTTCTCTCCTCTCCCTCTGCCCCTCCCCCTGCTCGCCTTCTCACTTACACGCTCTCTCTCTCTCTCCCTCCTTTCCCCTCCCCCCAAAACAGATCAGGAAGCCCTGTTTTATTTGATATATTTCTTCTTCCCTCACCTACAAAATTTTATCTGTGCCCATTCTAACCACTTCTACCGCAGTCACAGAAAATGAAGGGTCTTGATCGAGGTCAGTATCTCTGTGTTTATTTTTAATCCGTACCCTGCCTCTTCTCTACAATTATTCCATGGCTTTTCAGCCTCTCCTTCTTGACTGCCTCTTGCCCTGAAACTTCTAATGTGCTCAAGTATCTTCTATCTTAAAATAAAAATCCCTGGCACCCTGTTTCTCTCTTGACTGCTATATGTGCTTGCTTTTCTTGATCAAACCAGGGTCTATATTCATGGCTTTAATTTTTATCATCTCCTCTTCACTGAAACCTCTTATTTCTGTCTTCGTTATTCTATCACACCACTGAAATAGTTACAAGATGGTTGACTCCAACATCTTTACTATTAGATCTTTATTTTACTTGACTTTTTCTGCTGGTAATTGACACTTAACTGCTCACAACTTCCTGAGTATTTCCTTGGACACTTTCTCTCCTGATTCTCTTCCTACTTTTCTGATTATTGCTTCTTTGTCTCTTTCATGGATTTCTTCTTAGTTCACCTTAAATGTTGCTGTTTTTTACATTTCTGTTGATTTTCCACTCTTTTCACTTCCAGACTTTTCACTCTTTCCGCAATGGTTCCACTCACAGGACATTAACTTCCAACATATAATTATTTGCTTTCAAAATCATAATTCCAGCCTTGACCTCTCCTAGACCTTGGGTGCATACATGACCAATTATCAGGTCACCAAAAAATTGTTTCTAATACCTACTTAGAAAGTTTATAGAATCCCAAGTCATGTGGGATGATTTCAAAAGCCTTCAATAAATTAGCATTTAATTTAGTTTTAGTCTAATTTGTTTTAGTTTCACCACAGCTCATTTTTAGTTTCATCCCACTCATTTTTTGCAGCATATTTGCATCCTAGTTCAGTTGATGTCATTTTTGTATGAGATTCACATTTAAGACACTGAGCACTTCTCAAAAATTTTAAACACTTGCAAAATATAAGTTTGCAAAAAATATAAGTTCTTTTTAAAACTATGGATATGTTTATAAAAGTAAGTTCCTTTCCTTTTTTTTCAAGGATGTCTTGGCTATTCTTGACCTTTTTCATTTCCCTGTAAATTTTAAAATAAACTAGTCAACTTACACAGCTGCTCATATTTTAATTGGGACTGCAATCAATCTATAGATAATGGGGAAAACTTAATCTTTATTATTGTGTATCTCAATATGATAAAAAATATTAACAAAAATGTGTAAGACCTCTAACAAAAAAGCCATAAGAATTATTAAGAAAAATTAAAGAAGACCTAAATAAATAAAAGGATATACCATGCTCATGGATTGAAGGGAGGACTTATTCTACTAGTTATCAAGATTTATAAAGCTCTTGTAAATAATACAATGTTGAATCAGTGTAAAAATAGAGAAATAGATTAATTGAATAGAACAGAGAATCTATAAACAGACCTACATATATAAAGACACTTGATTTATGACAAAAGAAGTGTTCTGGGGCAATAGGAAAAGTTTTTTCTCTCCAGTAAATTGAGTTGGATCAACTGGATACCTGTAGAGGAAAAATTTGTCCCTTACTTCATACCAATTCCGGATGGATTATAAATCTAAAAGTGAAAGGTAAAATAATAAACTTCCTAGAATATATCAAAGGGAACAGTTTCATGACCTTGGCTATAGGTCAAGCTGCCCTAATTAAGACATAAAAAGCACTTAATATAAAGAAAAGATTAATACATTGGACCAAATTAAAATTAAAAACTACTGTTTTATAGACACTGCTAAAAGGGTGAAAGGAAGTCACAGAATAAAAGAAATAACCAAAAGAAGGTTTATGCATAGAGTATATTTTAAAAGTACAAATCAATAATAAAAAAGATAGAATAGAAAAACAGAAGATACTTTAACAGAAATTCACAAAAGAAGATCCCAATGTCCACTTGATGCATAAAAAAGGAACTCAGTCTGATTAATAATCAAGGAAATGTAAATTAAAGCACAATGTGATAATACTACATACTCACAAGAATGGCTAAAATGGAAAAGACTGACAATAGCAACTGTTGGACAGTATCTACTAGAGATGAACGCGTGCATATTCTGTGGTCCAGAAATTTTACTAAAACATATGTACAAGAATATTCATAGAAACCATATTCACAATTGCCAAAACTGTAAGTAATATAAAATGTCAACCATAGTGTGGATAGTGACTTATAAATATTGAATATATACGTATTCAATCAATGAAATACTACACAGCAGTGAAAACCAACAACTATTGCTATAGGCAATGAATGAATTTCATAATGATAATTGAGCAAAAAGAGACAAATATAAAAGAAAATATATGATTTCATTTATATACAATTTATACTGTCTATGGCATTAGAAGTCAAAATAGTGGTTACCCTTTATAAAAGAGGTTCATGATTGTGAGGAAAGCGAGAAAGAGGTTTCTAGAATGATGGTCACATTTTGTTTCTTGATGTGTATGGTAGATAAATAGATTTTGTGATAATTCATCAAGTTGTGTACTTTTCTCTCTGTGTATTATATTTTTTTAAAAAAATTTAGAGGTAAGTATAAATGGCAGTGGATTAAAAGAAAATAACCCCTTATAATTTATAAAATCCTTTATATTTTTGTCATACTTTGTTTTTATTTTATTTTATTTTATTTTAATTTTGAGAGAGAGAGCACACATGTGAAAGGCAGGGGAGGGGCAAAGGAAGAGTGAAACAGAGAATCCCAAGCAGGCTCCACACTCAGCGCAGAGCCTGATGCGGGGCTCAATTTCACAACCCTGAGATCATGACCTGAGCTGAAATTAAGAGTTGGATGCTTAACCAACTGAGCAACCCAGGTGCTCCTTTTGTCACACTTCGTAATGAACACTTTTGAATTACAGCACTTGCAATTCAAAATACACTAATATTTGTCTTCCCCAATAGCATAGACTTAAATGATGGAATACTGAACTTTAGCCAACCATGGCACAATGGCTGAAACAAAACAAACGTAGCTAAGTGAAAATAAAACCAAAATGTTTTGACCAAATAATAATAAACTTTATAAAAATCATTTTATTCAAGTAAATTTGTTTTTGGTGGATTGACTTGCCTCAGAAATGGGTTGATTTTATCTCAGAAAAGTAATTTATTTTAGAAAAGTAAATTTTTAATGTAAAATTATTTGTGTAACAAGAGAACAGTACCTTGGTTTATGAATTTATAATATATCTATATCTTTAACATTACATGAAATAAGTATATTTATATCTAGATTCTAATAATTTTCTTAACTTACCAAATAAATTAGTGCTGCATATGAAGCATACATTATGCTAGTTAAAGCAGTCTTCGCTGGAAAAGAAATGATTTCAAACAAAGAACCCCTTCTGACCTGCAAAAACAGAAAAAGAGTTTTCTTATTATAATAAAAGTTTTCAATGTTACAATATTAAATTTTACAATGTTACTGTAAAATGAGAATTTAAATATTTCTTTCTAAAGAAAGTCATCTGCTGGGTCTATCTTTTTTCACATTCCGAAAATATATTGGCTTATTTACTTATTAGTTTTTTTACAAAAAGGTACTTTCTTTTGCTATGACAGATCTATAAAAAACCTTGCATTTCCAAAATCTAAATTACTTTAATTTTTTTACATTTAACAAGTATGCTCACTAGGGGGTGCCACTGTGCACGTTAGAAAAACAGCACTGGGTGTTAAACGCAAACAATGAATCATGGAACACTACGTCAAAAACTAATGATGTAATGTATGGTGATTAACATAACATAATAAAATTTAAAAAAAAATAAAAAGCACATATACAAACAAAAAAAAGAAAAACAGTCTTATCTTTGTTCAAATTCCTGTAATCATCCTTTACTAAATTATTCACCTCTTCATTAAGCAAACAGCAATCGAAATACTAAGCATTTCCTGCAGATTAATGACCTGATTGGAAATGTTAATCATGAGACTGCTGAAGGCCAGCATTCACCTTAGATGATCATTAAGCTTCAGGAAATGCTCTGTGCTCACATCCAGCAGGCTTTTTTGAAACCGAGGTTTACACCAATAATGAATTTGTCTCAGAAGTTTCTAGTTTCTGGTAATAAGCATCTCTGCCTCAAACATAAGAGAATATATTTAGTTTAAGGGATTAGACTCTCTTTGAGGTCACCTCTGTTCCCTTGAGTAGGATATGAAAGGAGGGCCTTGGGAAAAACATTCCCTTCCCATTCAGCAGTGAAGTGGCAGTTAGCCATGCTCCTCTGAACTAAGTGCCAAGACACTCAATGGCTTTCAATAACTCCCAAAGGGACAGGCTGCAGCTAATAAAATCGTGTAAATGCACAGTAAAAAATGCATAAAAACTAGAAAGAACAGTATGTATGTGTACATCAAAGTTAGTTACGACATTGAAAAATTGAAACAATTGGTAGCAGAATGGTTAGGTGAATTAAGCTCTATCCACTCAATGGCGTATTGCAGCCTTTTAAAAGGTGCTTCTGAAGAATGCGTAATAACGTTTTATTGAACAAACGTTTGTATGGCACTGTGTTCTAAGTGCCTGTTGCAGTATATTCAGTTTTCTCTCACTCCTGCCACTGCTGAAGGAAGAAGAAAATTGCCCATCACAATTTACCTTCTTCTCTCTTAAGTGATTTATGGAATGCTGAAGCCAAGAATACCATCTAGCCTACCAGCTAAGAGAGGGAGGTGGGGGGGGGGGTCAGGGGAGGGAGGCATTCCTTCTTATTCCTTGTCTTCCAGGCCATACTGAGTCCTAGATATGGGAATAGGTAGGGGCAGTTTTAGGCCACTCTCTCCATAAGTTGGTCTGGAAAACTTCCCAGAGTTCCTGGCCTCTGGAAAGAGTTTCCAGGAACTGAAGCAGCTGCTTGCTGCTCTTTCCCTCTTGCTAGAAGAGTCAAATTGATAGCATGCTTTTGAATCTCACTATTAGGCTACAGGGAGACAGACAGACAAGTAGAGAGCAGACGCTAGGAAAGACAGCAGATATAGTCCAACAAAATGCCTCCTAGGAGAGTAAAAGATTCATGAGATTGTGAATATATGGATGTGCAGTGGGAGGTCTATATTCAATAACTGGTAGGCCATATACAATAAAAATAAAAGTGGGGTCTGCATGCATGAGAAATTACTCTGTTTCTGTTTCACAGCATCTTTTTTTTTTCACATTTTGTCCTTCACCTGAAGTAATTAAAACTGATTACTTTTCAAAGTTTCAAAATAAATTATATATCTGATACATGTTATGCTTCTGAATGATGAATCTGTATATTGCCTAAGGGTTACTTTTCCACCATCTTAATGCTTTTAATAAATACTTGCTATTCCTGTAACAAATCATTCCTGTAGAAAATACATTTCCTCCAAAATTTATGTGGCTACTGGCAAGTAGCCATTTTTCAATTTTATGAGCTACTTCCAATACATGTTTTTCATATTATAAACCATGCTGTTTCATTTTTGGCTTGCTATAAGCAGGAATAGTGTATGATAAAACAGATAAATAGGAGAGATTTGTAAATCAAAGAATGTATTTAGATCATCTCAACCAATTAAAAAAATTTTATCTGAACTTATATTAATTTTATTTGCATATTTAAGTTAAAAGAATGTTGATATCAATATTATGCCCATATATTCCTTTTTTGAATTTTTAATATTAATATATATGTATATATAAGATATGTGGATATGTTATATGGTCATACTAACATCTCAGATATATAGATATTTCAACAGTAAAAACATTTCAATCTTTAACAAAATTTCTTTCACATAATTTTGAGTTCCACCTGTCACATAACTTTGACGCCTCATCTCATAAAAGAAGAATCTGTGTTTATCTTATTTTCATTAAAATTGAGATAAATCACAAAAAAGCAAACCATAAGCAGTTTAGAAAATAATAAAGATCCACTTACAGATGACTCGAAGTTTAAAGAATCACCAGGCCCAAATTAGTTTTTGTTGTTCCCAAAACCACCTTGACAAAGGATACGTGGGGAGTAATAGAGAAACTTTAACTCAGTGATTCACAAGTGTTGCAAGAAGCACTGACTGGTTAATAGGCCCAGAAAAAAAGTATTTCCTGTAGGTTTGGAAAAGTTACATGACCCTGTCTCTGCTTGAGCAACCCACAGTATTCATGAACCCAGGAAGGACTCCTAGCAGTCCACAGTAAAGAAAGCTATTGGACTTCGTTTATCCCAGTATTACTATCCTGTAGAATATTGTTCTTGAATAAGCTCTTACTCACATGGTCCTATAAAAGCTTAAATGTCCCAATCTCTTGGCCAACCTGGAGAAGTTATGTCTTCAAGATTCCAGGGATTCTACTTTCCAGGAATTGTCCTTTTTCCCCAGGTCTTGAATTATACCACCCAAGATAACCTCATGGCAGGTCCATCAAGAACCTATAGAAGTTCTTGATATTTTTGAGGTTTACATATATATTTTTTTTTACAAAAATATGTGAGGTTTGAGTTTAAACTCCAGTCTACGTTGACATGTTGGGGGTGAGGAAGAAACTATACTTCGAGAAGTGTCTGATCTTCATCCTGAAAAAGGGAGCACAAGTTCACTGGGATCCATGTAAATCACAGGCATTGTAGATGGTGAGGGTTTTCTTCACTTTTGCCCACATCTGGCCTACAGCACTCCACAGTGCCTGTACAAAGGAGAAACAGTCATCTCTAATGCCACTATAAGGAAGATTGTGACATATATAAGGAAGATTGTAGCATAGCAAGAGCTCCTGTGGCCCTGCATTGCCCCGCCAAAGTCAACAACTACGTCTGGGAGCTGACGTGTCTTGGCTGAAGTCAGTGTTCAAGCTGATTATCTAGGTCACTGCAGCCTAGAGCAGCTGCAAGCTTTACTCATCCAGACAGCTTCTAAGGCTAAGCAGATGCACCATTCTTTAAGTACTGATGCTGGGGATGTTGAAAATCACCAAGAAATGATCTAACCAGAGTTTTCCATTCCTGAGGCCCTTTTAGAACTAGCAGATGACTTGCTATACTCTCAGCCCTACATAAGCTGGAAGGGTTTGAGAAACAACCCGACTCATCACCCATAAAGACAGGTGCAAAGGGAGTCTATTTTAAGAAGCTGGAGAAGACTGACTCCAACTATGTGCTCATGTTAAAACAAGCCTTTAGGATCTCTTCAGGTCACTTGTATCAGTGGGGTCTTTGGATAGTTCATATTGGGCTCAGTATCTTTGAATATGCTAACATAAATAGGACTTGCTCTAGGGCTGAGCATATAATCAGAAAGGCTTGGGCATATTGTCAAGGAGCTCCTGTAACAACATTCATACTCTAATTATCTTGAGGAAGACTATTACTGTATGCTTCATCTCAGACCACATCAGGGGGCTGAAATACTATCCTAGTCATAGGTAGTGTCCTAATGAAAATGCTCCTCTATTACCTGTTCTTGAGGGAGCAATCTGCCTCACTGGCAACCTCAGCTACATAATATCAAACAGAGTTTTGGTAGAACCATTTAAGGTGCTCTATGCACACAAGTATCTTTCTATCATTAATTATCCTCAGATCAGTGAGAAGTCAGACATACGAAGAGGATCTTTAACACCTTCAGATAGGTTAACTAGGCTGCTTACCTTCCCATATAAAGTGATGTCCTCCATGCATCTACAAAGCATATCCCCTTGCATTAGCAATCTCAGATTTCACTCCTTTTACTTCTGCACACCAGAAAGTTCCACTTTGACAAAGGCAGCCTGACAATCCTTGAAGGAATTCATGCTGGAAGCCACTCTGGATAAGCTAAACTCTGTCACTATGGAAAGACAGCCTAGCAATGTATGTACCAGGGCTGGTGTAGCTCCCTCATGCTCTGCCACTTATTTCTCTGGTACACTGGTACCCTGGATAGGCTCCATTCACAGACCAATCCTTTGACCTCCACCACACCTCTTATATTACTCTGTTGTTCCTTTGACTCTCCAGGCCATTATCTTCACTATTTATACTTCTATTCCTTCTTCACTGGGATTTTTATATCTGAGATATGTTGTTTTCTTGCTTGCTACAACATAATTCCTCTCAGTAGAAATTCTGATTCTCCACCCTAGCTAATACATATTATCCAAGTAAAGCTTATTCCTCATTCCTAACCCCCAAGGACCCTGGAACATCTGACGTGAGACTGTTCCCACTTGTCTCATTCTAGCCATATGGAACTGCTTACATTTCCTAAATAAGTTATGCTCTCTCTGACCTCAACATCTTAATATACAATGTTCACTTCTGGGAATAATTCTCCTACTTCTTCACTTGGCTAATATCTCCTCTCTCAAGATCCAGTACAACACTGACTATTCTGTGGAATTATATGCCCCTTGTTGATGCTTCCATAGTACACTTTGCACACTCTGATCATGCACCTGCTGCACTCCACTGACACTGCTTACTTGCCTATCATCCACACAGTCCATATATGGCAAGAGCAAGACATCTACGAATCCTAGTATCTAACTTAGTGATTTTACATGTCAATGTTCAATAAATATATGTTGAATAAATGAAAAAGTAGAATAATACATCACTTCCAGAAAGAAATGTAACGATCTTATATTAAAATTCATAAAAGATACCAGATGAAAGACATCTGGTTCCAGTAGTAGGGCAGACTGAGCTAATGTGGAACCCTCTGGAAATTCTATATAAATACCCCTAGAAATGCCCCTAGAAATTCTATATAAAATCAAACTCCAAAATGTAATACAAGACTGAGTTTACAAAAAAGAAGAGAAGGAAAAAAGAGGGAGGGAGGGATGGAGGGAGGGCTGGGAGAGGAAGGAAGGAAGGAAGGAAGAAAATTTCCCTGTGCCAGGAACTAAAAGGTGGAGCAATAAGTGTGTGAGTATATGTCCCAGGAAGTATCAAAAAGAGATAAGTAAAAGGAAAATATGAGTAAAGTAAATAGACATAAAGAATAAAATGAAAATGTCCAAAGTATGTTTAATAGATACTCCAGAAGAGATTAGAGAAAATGAGAAAAGGTAATATTTGAACAAACAATGGCTAAGAATTTCCCAAAACTGAAAAAAATTATCCTTAGATTTAAGAATCACTATGATTCACAAAAAGCATTTTGACAACAGCTAATAAAACTGAAGATATGCATCCCTCGTGACCCAGCAATCCCTCTTCTAGATGTATACCTGGAGAATGTCTCTCACACACAGATAAGGAGTCATTTACAAGAGTGTTCAATGAAATACTGTTTGCAAAACAAACAAAAAAAACAACTGGAAACTAAATCGCCCATCTGTCCAATAATAAACTGTGGATTATTTTCTCTTACAATGGGATATGACAAAGAAGATTAAAATAATAAACCATAGCTACACATTCAAAAATGTTGAGCGAAAAAAAGAAAGTTTCAGAAGGATGAGTACAGTATAATTTATATAAATTTTAAATATATGGAGAATAATAGATGTATACACATGTAGTGAAACTATAAAAGTATGCACACAAATGCTCACATCAACCTCAAGAAAATGATTACCTTTGGTAGAGAAAAAAGTGGGGACTGGATCAGGACATGGTTAATTATATTTCTTTTTATAAAGGAGATATCAAAATCTATATTGCAAAATATTACTACCAATTTACATTTGGATGAGACTTCTGATACACTACCTTTAAAATGTTTTGAAATATTTTATTGATAAGAATTTTAAAAATCAAAGCTAGATTCTAAGACAATTAGAGTAAGAGCAAAGAAGAAATTTCATGGGTGTTGATTTTGAACTGATGTCACAGAGACAGTCACAGTCAGCATATGGACCTTAGACAGGTCATTTATTCCCTCCCTCTGCTTCTTTCACCTCAGGTTCCTGGGATACGTTATCACAATTAAGCTCTCAATTTGCCTGTGAAACCCACTGTCAGGGCAAAAAGGCAAATGCATTGTGTTCTTCAGTTCTCATGACTGGATAAAAGGAAACATAAATTCAACTGGAAAGATAGATTATTTTCCTGCCACTGAATTTTCATGAGTACTGGGAGGCAATTCTCTGTGGACGTCTCTCTTTCCTGTATAGATTGGGCTTTCTGAGCAAAGGACATGGTTGAATAACAAACAGCTTTAGAAGCTAGAGAAAGTATATTCCTCTGGAGGGATCTAGAGATGTACTTCCCAAGACATGTCACAGGGCACTAAGGAGAAAGCCTTCTCCTTAAACCTTCTAGAAACATTTACTTCTCACCCCCAACCCCCTCTTACTTTTTCTCCCTTTGTGTCTCTGTCTCTTCTCTCTCTCTCAGGCTGGGCCAATAGGCCTGCTGCACTCCTATAAAAGCTGAGTCTCCGAATTTCAGCCTCCTGTGCTGTACTGTGATGCAACTCACCACACTTGGCTCTTGTCACATTGCCCTGTGGGACCTGAGGGCTTAGCTATTGCTCTGACTGCTGCTTGTCAGTTAATAATAAACACTCTCTGTCTCTGATTCAAGGGAGTCGTGGGCCTTCTATCGGTGTGTTTGTACAGCTGTGGCAGGCTAACTTGTTAGCTCGTAAATAGTGTAAAATCTCAGATTCTTCAGCGCTGACTTGGCAAAGAGAAGCAAAAGGAAAGACAGAATGACATAATGGACAGTGTCTTTAAATGTGATTCCATAATACATACAGAAATATTCTTCAAAGGACATTTCTTATATCAACCCTCTACAAAAACTGTGGGTTAATGCGAAAGAAACATCAAGGCAAAACGTTCATTTTAGCAATGTATTTCAGTGGATATTACACAGCTCAGCTGATTTCTTTTTGACAACCTAAAGATACAGGAATAAGGTTTATACTGCTTAGAGAATGCGGTAGGTAACAAACACAAAGCGTTTTTTACTCTTTCAAACATCAGGTATTATAAGGGAGCCTTTTATAGTTGCTATCTCAGGTAATTCATAGTTGAACCTATCCCATGATTTCTGGAAATGTTAAAAATCTTTGATTAAAGAGAGATTCCTATGTAAAGGATAGCTTGTTGATTTTAGCCACCATCATCCATTTTCTCATCTTTCAAAATAACCCAAATTTTGTTTGAGGATTCATCCTTTCCCCATTCTCTGGTCATGTGGTCTGGATGGAGCTCCAACCTCTCCTTAGGGAGAAAGCAGGCAATCAGGTCCTGGGCCAGTCAGTGCACCCCATTCCCCTGGTTTAGAGGTAAGCCTTTCTCGGAGAGTGAACCTCAGGACTTGGCTGGGAATACCGGCTCCAGGACTGTCATTCTTTAGGGCTGTAATTGAACCTGGAAGGATGGAGTCCTGGGAACAGCGGCAAATCATCTTGTAAGCACGAAGGGAAAGTCAGTGTGTGAATGGAGGCAACACAGGGGAAGCAGAGCCAGGAGATGAGTAGAAGAGAAAAAAGGGACCCTGAAGGCATCATTTGAGTACCTCCATCCTGAAGCCTTAGCAACTCCGGATTGTTCAACTGCAGGAACTAATACATACTTTTGGCTTCACTCCCTTTGAGCCACGGTTCTTCTCCCTTCAACAAAGGGTCAAAATGATTCACCCTGGGGTTCAGGTGCCAGGCTTGCAGGAGTCCCAGTCGTTTGTAACGAACATTTAGAATGCCTGGAATAATGCTCAAATGGAAACCCCCAGAGTTTTAAGTCACAAAGTTTAGAAAAAAAGAAACTGGTCCTGAACAAGGTTTTAAGAGCTGTTGTCCTTAACAATATATAATAGAGCCTCAATGTAACAATGTAGAAGGTGTACTTTGAAATACACTAGATGTTGGTGGGTCTATCACAATGAGTTTATAGTTGAATATATTCAAATATGTTAAGTCAGACAAAGATTATCTTGGAACATAGCAAGGTTATGGGGGAAAAGGAAAAGGAACAAAACCATCATTTTTAAGGCTTATAGGATTCCTTTTAGGTTTCATATAAGTGATAATCTATATGTTGATATTTAGGTTGAACCATTTGAAATTCAGTTTCATAGAGCTCAATCAAATAACAGAGCAGGAAAAAAGTCCACATTACTTCCTCTTTCCGATTTATTTAAACTGGAATATATATATAGTATATTGAAAAAAGACCAAACCATTTATTTCTTATCCAACTATTCTTGTTTTATATGTAGGACAACCAAATGTGCTACATTTTCAAATCTTGCAATTTCAGAACAGTTTCTAAAAAAAAGAGTCCATATCTTGTGCAAATGTTAATATTCACTCACCTGCACGTTATAGACGGGTTGCTTCGGTGCATTAACTTCCCTCAGCAAACGATGTGATATGTCCCTTAACTCTAGAAGTCTACAAGCAAGCTGAGGCTGCAGAAGTTTGGCCACTGATTTGGAAGATCTGGATATGCTGTTTAATCCTTGAATTAATGTTCCTCGGTTGATCCTCGCTAAGGCGACAGCCATTCTGATTTTGGATGGTTTCTGCATGGGTTCTCTTTTCTGGAAAATAAGCCTCTAAAAAATGAGTGATGTGTGATTCTCCCATGAATTATTACAATCTCCTTCAGACCGCGACCAAGTAGCACATAACAGCACATTATGCACAGTCCTATGCATATACTCAGTGTCCAATAATTATATCCCACCCCCACGTACCTAAACGTTTCAATAAATGTATGATTTTTGCCTTAGCATAAATATCCAGAATTTAAGTTACTAGCCAAAAATCTAAATTTTTCATTTTTCTCTCTGGGTTTCTTTATTTTCGCATTGATTTTTTAAAGAGCACTTTTAAAAGTAAGCAATTCTTATTCAAATATTACTCAATGTTTGAATCATTTGAACAATAATTCTTATTCAAAACTGTTACAAATATTTTCCCAGTTTATTTAAAAAATTTAAATGATAAAGCATTCATATATAATGCATGGTACAATAAAAAAAATAAAACAAATTCCCTATATACTAATTAGCAAACTTAAAATTTACTTCTAAAAACTTCAAAACTTGTGAGCATTCTGACAGAAAAAATTTGTGGCATTAGCAAAACATATGACATGTAGATCTTTCCCTGCTGTACCAGAAAGTGAACCACAGAGAAATTACTTACAATGTGGTTAGAGTGCATTCCAGGCAACAACAAGTATAGTTGCCATTATTCATTTAAGCAATTTTATGGCCTATGCTGGCTTTTTCATATATGACTTGGGGGAAACTAATGGTTTATAACACAAGAAGCAACTTTGAGTTTCTATTTATTGAATCCAAATATGTAAGTACAAAACATCTTTTAGATGGATTGTTTTGGTCTACAATGAGCAGCATATATTTGCTTAAGAGCTAGTGTACTGTATATTTACTTTAAATGCCTCAACTGTTATCCTGAAGAAATAAATGTATTATTGCTGTTTTTGTCATTAAAGTTCAATGCTTCTCTTACTGTTTTAATATTCGTGACTGGAAGTAACCAAAAAGTGTACTAGCCTTTCAACGAGGATGTACATCTGCAGCATCAGTCAATTAAGCGTCTGCCTTTGGCTCAGGTCATGATTTCAGAGTTGTGGGTTGAGTCCCTAGTTGGGCTCCCTGCTCAACAGGGAACCTGCTTCTCCCCTTCCCCTGCCACTGCTCATGCTCTCTCTGGCTATCTCTCTCTCTCTTTCTCCCTCTCTCAAATAAATAAAATCTTTTAAAAAAATAAATATTTGCCTCTATAGAGAATAAGACTATCTGTAACTGATAATTCATGAATCAAAACTCTCCTGTAGGATCATATAATTTGTGTTGACCAAAATATAGCATTTATGATAAACAATATTTTTAAAAATTCAGGTGTGCATTAAAATAATGCTTCAGTGCACTTTGTATTATATTTCTCATTTTAATATTGTCATAAATTCATAGCTTTTTCCAACAGACTCAACTTGTTCCTAGTTAATATCATCTTTGTTTCCTTTTAATACTGAAATCATTACAATTTGATGACTCTGCTTCCCTTCATGGTTTTTTTTTTTTTTTTAAGATTTCATTTATTTATTTGAGAGAGAGAGAGCACAAGCAGGGAGAGCACAGGCAGAGGGAGAAGCAGGGAGCCCAATGTGGGACCCGACCCCAGGACTCTTGGATCATGATTTGGGCCAAAGGCAGACGCTTAACCAACTGAGCCATCCAGGCGCCTCTCCCTTCATGGTTTTTAAAATGCTTTCCTTTTTCGATACTTTTATAGATATCTCTGAATCTCTGAAAGAAACATTACCTCTAGCAACAAAATATCTGACCACCTTTATTTTCTCTGACATAAAACATACAGTCAGCTTGTTCCCAAGAAGACCATTTCTGCTTTCAGAATAGTATTAGAAACCAAATATAGACATTGAGGTGCATGTAAAGTGTTTTTTTTGTTTGTTTGTTTTGTTTTTTTTGAGGCTCTGAGAACAGAAAGGAAACAACAGAGGAGAGGCTACTTACAGTCCTGGAGATGCAGAATGAGATTTTCCTCTTTTTTTAAAAAAAAATAATCACCAGTTTATAGTGATGATTCCAATTCACTCTTTTTTTTTTTTAGTATATGTGCTGCCGAAGCGAGCACGATTCCAATTCACTCTTACCTTCACAGAATTTTTAAAATAGGCTCTGGTAAAAAAAAAATTGTTAAATAAAAGGGTTTTTTTCCTTTTTTTGAGCTACCAGCTTTTCCCTTTGTCTACTATATATGCTATATATTTTCCTAACAAGCCGTGCGTGTAAACTTAACCGACCCCAAGTGAAGAAGTGCTCACTTCTTCCCCTGGTTTTGTTGGACCCTTGTCCTAAGCATCCTGGAATTGGCTGCAAAATGTGCAAGTTTACATGATTCCTTTTGTCATCATTATCATCTGAGCACGTTACCAGATGTGAGAAAAGAAATTCCAACTCCCTTCCCCTCCCACCTCAGGGACACACAACAGTAATAATCATTTACCACAAAAAACCTAGTATCAATTAATCAGATTGTTTTGAGAATCCTCCAAATTTCGCTCTTTGGATATATCCTGCTTTCCTGTTTTTGTTTTTTTTTTTCTAGAGCCATACTCATCTCTCTATCATCAATTGTTTTAATGCTGAACTCCAATTTCTGTTATGTTAGCTTTTTACTACCCTACATCCAAAAAAAACCAGCCTGTCAGCAAGTCTTATTCAGTTCTTTCTTTGAATAGTCCTAGAGTCTGACCACTTCTCAACCCCCCCGGGCCAAAACTCAGTCCGTTGCATTTATCCACCGTCTCTTCTCCAGACTAGTAAATTAGCCTCCTCAATGGTCCCTCTGCTTCCATCCTTGTCTATGTTCATTCTATTCCTCAACACCTCAGCCAGAGAGATACAATTAAAACTTAGATCCCATCTTGCTTTTCTGCTCTGCTGCTTCAGTGGCTTCCTAGTGCACTCAGTATAAAAGTCCAATTACAAACAGTGGTCTACAGAGCCCTACAAAGGTGGTCTTTTCTTTACCTCCTGAACCTCACTGTCTTTTTCTCTCCCTTTCCTCCTCGCTATTTGTTGAGTTTGTTAAGTATGCTTCCACCTCAGGGACTCAGCACTAGCTCTGCCATTTGATCCTTCAAAGGTACCAAGGTTTCCTCACTCGCTTCCCTCAAGTCTTAGTTCAAAAATGACTTTTTCCCTAAGACCCTCTTAGTCCTCCTACCTTAACGGTCGATTGTTCTCCTTGTTCCCACCCGTATTTCATATCTCTGCCATATTTCTTCTTCTTCTTAAGACCTATCATTAACATAATATATAGTGTATTTTCCTTGTTTCTTGTTTTCCTACTTGATTAGGATGTAAGATCTATGATAGCAGTGTTTTATATCTATTTGGATCACTGATCTTTCCCCAGTACCTAGAATAGTGTCTGGTGCATAGCAGGGTACTCTATAAATATTTGTTGAAATGAATAAATGAGGAGTATCAGAAAATATAACAAATTAACATAGAGAAATAGAGGAATATACCAAATATTAAATTAGAAACCACCCTGAAAGTTTTCAATGTACAATATGCTCTGTAACTTTGACAATTATGGTAGTGTCCCACTAGAAACAACACACCAAAGACAAAAATATAACTGAATTATAGAACACAATCCTACTCTCATCATATTTAGAAATTCTATACTAATAAAAGTAATTTCCAGATGTCACTGGTGCAGCCCCAAGAGTTTTGTCCTACATGTTTTAAAAAAAAAGAAGCCAAGAGAATTCAGAAAAGTACATCTACAGTTATAAAAATCCAAAGTTTTATATGGATTCTAATATGTTCTGCTTACAACTCCCAATTTTATAGTATAAGGTTAAGCGCAAGATAATTACAGAATAAAACACATAATTACCTTTCATAATTAAAACCACAAAAATTGACCCTATTTTACCACAAAAGATTTCTCTCATTCAAGTAAAGATCATCTAAATTAAAACTTTTTAGTTCCTTAATTGTAAAATACATTTTTCATTTGTTTGAATGTAAAAGTTTATTATTTTTAAACTCTCATATGGAAATCATTTGCAATTTGCAAATGTAAACCTTTAAAAAATCACTGTTTTTGCTAAAGGAAGTGGATACTGAAAGTACTGGGGTCTGCGTTGCACTGGAGCGTACATGACATCAGAAGCCATGACCTCAAGCTAAGGTTCTAAAATTAACTTCCCTCAGCCCCAGGAAGAAAATTTCCCTTCAAAATCATTAGTCATAAAGAACTATTTAATACCCACTATTCTTGGATATATCCTTCTATAAAAATCCCACCATCACTCCCACCAAAACTTTTATTTGTTTCAGGCCAACAAGATGGTCTTTTCCTAAATAAATAAGTGCCTAAAACCTCTTTAAAAAGTTTTAAATATTAACCATGAAATTTAGAGATTTAAGATCCAACCCAATTAATTAAAACCCTCCAAGTATTCTTAAAACCACTCCTTTCAGTATGCTTGGGAATTATGGATCATCCCCAAAATAATAAAATTTGTAGTATTTACAATCTGAACTTTCAAGTATAATTTAGTTACCCAAGTATTAGCATTGTTTTCTGAATAATTTATTTTTGAAGTACAAGTAACTTCAATGTGTTACGATATCCCCTAAGAACTTGGATTTCTTGCCAATTTCAGCAAAGTAAATGGTGGAAAAAAGAACAATGTGTGTTGAAAATGAGACATAAAGTAACTGTGTTTACATTCTTCTCTGAATGAGGTAAAGTTCTTTTAAGTAAATAACTTCGGTGTGCTGGAAATAGGAACTCAGAGTTCTTTCTTTGGGATCAGAATATCAAGCTATTTCACTATTAAACCAAACTTATGGCTCCAGTGATAATGAGGCTATTCAGGGGGTAGGAAGAGATGAAGGGAGTTGTAAAGAAAGTTGCAACTTCTTAGATTATTAAGCCCAGTTTCTTTAATGTTGTCAATGGTGAGAGAATCACAACTTGGAAGGGGAAACAGGGCTTCCCAGACTGTGCCAGTCTCAGCCGTTTCACATCCTAGACCAAGCATGGTCACCTGCCCATTCCTTCTTTAATACTCCAGAGCATACGCAAGAAGAATCTCCAACATTTAAAAAGACTCTGTACTAAAACTAGGGGAATTCCAAAGGGAGAAGCAACTAGACACCGAATCTAAGATACAGATTTATAAAATCTGGTTTGTAGTCTGGAGCTTTTAAGCCTCATCCTATCCTACTTAATGGACCACCATCGGGATGCCATCTTACCACTAGGTATCCAGATATATACACTTTAGTATCAGCCCTCTCCAAAGTCTAGACCCAAGACTAATGCCATTGGTTCATATGTACTTGATATTCTGGGAACATGCTATACTGTTTCACACTTTTTGTCCTAACGGACACTGCTTCCTCTGCTCCTATCCACTTACCCTATCCCTTTTTTCACTTTGAAAATTCATATTCATCCTCTGAAACCCAATTTAAGCATCCTTCCTCCATAAAGCCTTCTCTGACCATCTTAGGTAGAGCCACTCATTCCTCCAAGTTGGATTTACCTCTTACCATATTCCAAAACAATTACTTGTTTACAATTCTGTCTCCATTAGATTAAGCTAATTGACTAAAAGCATCCTGTCTTATCTCTGTATTCCCTATCCCCAGTCCCAGCCAATAGGAAAGTATTTAGTAAATGTCTAATGCCTGGTTATATGGATGAATGTTTAAAAGTGGCTCTAATATCTCTCCTTTGGAATGAAATATATAGACTTTGTGATTACTATGTTACTCAGAGAGCTTTTTTGTTTACTTCCAGGTTTTGGCTATGTTCCTCATGTTTGATATGGCCAAAACTCTGATATCTGGACGAGGAAATTATTACTGTACCATGTAACTTTACAACATATTCTATTCCAACTGTGGTCTAGATGACTAAATATACTTTTCCATTAAGAGCTGTGTACTTTTAAGTAAATTAGGTTACAAAATATTACTTTTTCCTGATCAGATGTCTTTTCAGAATTCTCTACCTATTCCCTCTTCCACTCCCAATATTTTATCCGTCTCAAATCCTTTTGGGAACAGAGGTTATACAAAACATATGCACATATGCTTTGTTTAAACTGATATCACTATTTTCTTTCCACATTAAAACATACACCCATACCTTATTTATCTTTCCATTATTATAATTTATGTTGGTTATTTTTTTTCACTAATTTAATTGCCATAGATTTTAGTTAAAATATATCTAAGTATTTTCCTGATTTTTATATTAAGCAAATCTTAAGTAAATATAGCAAACTACATACATTGCAATTGTCGCTACGAGAGAGTTCCACATTTCCAATCTAACAACACGGTGATTTTCTTAAACTTAATTTGTCTATCTCATTTCTTTGTCCACCATCTTTCTGCTTTCCATAGACCCACCCACTGAGTAAGATTTAAATTTGTTCTTCTGAGGCAAAATTAATTTCTTCCTAAGCTTCAGGCACTGATCCCAAAGTCAAGCATTAAATAATGGATATGATATTAAAAATACAATATACTTTTTGTAATCCTTTTCAAAATCATGAAATCACATTACCTGATTAGACTGCGATAATCTTAGGATGGTAGGGAATTCATCTTTAAACTCATCTATAAGGTCCATGATGACTTTCTGGATCCCCTCGACTGAGACAAAAAGAAGTTGGGGGGAAAAAGTTAATGAAAAACATCACCTAACCACAATTCAAAAGAACATGGGACACTGGGTCCACTTTGTAAGTCCCTGGGAAAGCAAGTAAACCCTAGGGGACTTTATTCCCCGTTGTTTCCCACACCCATATCCCCTTTACAATGAGATTGCATATACTTCTTCCAGAAAAGTTCTTCAACACCTGCCCACATATCCACCCAACAGGTTTGATTGGCATGACAAATTCTTGCTTGCTTGGCAAGTTTGCAGGCCAGGGCAACACTTGTCCTACTCTGCCATTAGTGAGGGACGAGGGCACTCTTCCACTCAGGAAAGCAGGCAAGGACAGAACCTACAGCTCATTGCCAGAATTCTTTGTTACTGCACAATGGGCCTCTGAGAACTTGTTACAGAATCTTCTGAAACCACTCTGGCAGTGAGAAGAGGAAGAATGTGTTTGAAGGCATAAGGGTAGGAGAAAGGAGAATGAAAAATAAACCATACTAAGGAGTTCTGCATTATTTGGAATTTTGACCCAACTTCTACAGTGATACCTCAATTAATGGATCATCTGAGAACAAAGCTCCCTTTGAAGAGAGTTGGCATATGCTTTAAAAGAAATGCTTCACACATGATGCCAAGAGGAAAAGAAACACCAGCAGTTAGTTCAGAAAGACTTCTGAACAGATTGTTTTTCCTTCACTCAAATAAGGATCACTAGGTCAAAAACAAGCAAAATTATAAAATCTATGGTTTCTCTTCTTTAAAATTCCTCCTCCTCCTCCTCCTTCTTCTTCTACTTCTTCCTCATCTTTTTCCCTCCTAGTACTCTCCCACTCCATTATTTTCCATTTATCAAATCTAGGAAGAATTTCATATCATGTGGATTTGATTGAATACCTAGTTAATATTTTCGTGTGGATGAATTCAGAGTTGATTAACACAAATCCCATTTTAATTTGAAGCCTTTGCAATGAATTGTAGCTAGACCATTGTCTTTGTCAAGCATAAGCTGTGGGTGCTAGAGGTTTGTTCATTGGAGCTGTCTAGGAAAGAGAAAAATGTTCATCAGAGAATGCCTCTATCATGTGAAGCCTGCCAGATCCCCGCCTTCAATTTGTCTTTAGTCCTAATCTGTCTGAGAACACTCTTCACCACACCACAAATACTTCTCTTAACCTTAGAATAACATGCTTCCCTCCATCATGACCCTAATGCTTAAGATAATTACACCCTTAATATGTGGAAATTGCAATCCTTTGCCAGAAAGAAAATCTTATTAGACAATGATGAACACACAAACTGAAAGTCTGTAAGAAATGTAACCCTTTATTTGTCCTATTATGATATGTGCCTATCAGAATTTACCCCAGAGGAACAGTTGGCTGTCCCTTCTCTCTTCTGTCTTCTTCCCTGTTTTCCACTCTCATTGACCCCCTAAGTTCTTTTCATCCATCTGTCCACCTCCTGATGTTTGTCCTAGCTCCCAATTGGTTTCATCCAGTTTTTTTTTCTCTTATTAGTTCTCACCCTCCTAAGCGTCTTATGAAATTAACAAATCTATAAGAAAAACCGGGTCCTCCTGCTAATATTGTCCACACGTAAAGCATAACCAGACTCTGTGTCATGCTAACAAAGTTATTTTTGTCTTTGCTTTCTTAATGACTCTCCTTGGGAGAGGAATGATGAAAAAAAGACAGGGGGTAATGAGATTTTAAAAAATCCCACCCCTGGGGCGCCTGGGTGGCTCAGTCATTAAGCGTCTGCCTTCAGCTCAGGTCATGATCCCAGGACCCTGGGATCGAATCGAGCCCCGCATCGGGCTCCCTGCTCGGCAGGAGGCCTGCCTCTCCCTCCCCCACTCCCCCTGCTTGTGTTCCTGCTCTCGCTGTGTCTCTCTCTGTCAAATAAATAAATAAAATCTTTAAAAAAATAAAAAATAAAAAATCCCACACCGCCACACTTATTTTATATTTGTGACCATATCTGATCATATTATGGGTTTTACTTAATTTTATGCCTGTATCTTATGTTATTTCAGGTAATAAAGTTAGACAAAATAAATAATGTTAATGGTTATCTTCTTTAGCTATGATGTTTTCTTTACAGCTCATGATACAGTGCTCCACACTTATAAAAATTAATTAGGAAACAGTTACAAGTACCTCCAAATTTTATAACAGCCCTGCAAATTTATTTGTATTTAAAGGCTTTAATACAGAAAAAAAAGAATCTCCTATTTGCACAAAGGTTGGAAGAAAATGAACATTTTATACACTGTAAGTGAAGGCAGTATAAACTTAATTAGAAAATAAAGAGTTTCGGGATTCAGTCAGACCCTGGTTTGAATTCCAACTCTATCACCTACCTACCTACCAGGCTGTGTAACCTTGGGCAAATTATGTTTTCTTAACCTAAATTTTACATTTCAAAAGGTGGCAGAACTTATTTAATGGACCAGATGTGTTCAATAAATGGCAGTCATTGTTAAATATACAGCAGCTACTTTGTTTTTTAAAGATTTTATTTATTTATTTGAGACAGAGTGAGAGAGAGAGAGAAAGCATGAGCGGGGCCCATGGTGGGGGGCCTGGGGAGGTGGGCAAACGGTGAGGGAGAAGCAGGCTCTCCATCCAACAGGGAGCTGGCTGCGGGGCTCCATCCCAGGCCCCTGAGATCATGACCTGAGCTAAAGGCAGACGCTTAACTGACTGAGCCACCCAGGCGCCCCTACAACAGCTACTTCACTTTGGGAGAGTTTGCAAAATTTGGGTGAAAAGTCAATACTGAGTTTGCCCTGTTCACATGGGTTTCAGCCTGTTTTGATTTTGCACACAACTGGCTGGAACCCTGATAACGATCCTAACTAGATCCTTCCCTCAAACCTACTTCAAACTCAACTGATACAGACCTACACTTCTGATTTCAAGTATTATCTGTCAAGTGTCAAGAACAAATTCTTTCAGAATCACCCTTGGCCCAGTCAAGGATTTGGACTGGAACCCACCTCCTTTGGGTGCCAACTCACAAGTGGATTAGTTCTGTTCGTCCCCATGCTATGTTCCTCCAGCTCACAGCATGCTCTGAGACTCTGTGTAAATCTCAGTTAATGGTAAATGTTTAATAATGTCAAAATAATTTTTTAAGATTTATTTATTTATTTGAGAGAAAGAGCACATGTGAGCAGGGGGAGAGGAGAGAAGGAATCTACAAGTGGACTCCCCGCTGAGCGTGACTCAGGGCAAGATCTGAGGACCCTGAGATCATGATCCGAGCTGAAACAAAGAATTTTGACTGAGCCTCCCAGGCACCCCTCAAAGTAATTTTAAAAAATCATTATCTGGAGGAAGGGTACGGACAGTTACTAAAGGCCAAATATACACTAGTTAACTGTTGTTAAAGGATAAACTGAGGGACATTAAAAATTTTAAGAGTTTATTTGAACAAAGATTTATTCTCATCAGGCATCACCAAACCAGAAGTGATTAGAAGCACTTCACAGTGCTTGCCCCTAGGGGCAAGGCTTTTATACAGAAGACATGGAAGCAAAGAAGAAAATTATTTGACTGGGTATAGTTCAAGGGCTTGTATTCTTTAGGAAAGCCTAGTTGGCTGTTTGTTATTGGTCGTCCTTAGGTTTAGACTGCATAATCCTGAGGCATTTACAGGCTTAGGTTTTGGTTTACTTGTGTCGGCTGCTAAGGCATGGGAGCCACCTCAGTCCAATGGCCTCCTTACTTAATTAATTTAACACTGTGCTATAAGCTAGGTTACACCACTCATCTCTTAATTCTTGTAATAACTCTCAGAGGTAGGAATGTTTTGAAAGCAATCTGAAAATATCAAACAATACCAATATATTAATATTACCCATACCAATATATTGGGAATATATCCCTATTTAAAAAATCCTTAATAATACTTTGTATAAAGATAGTTAATGCAAGGCCATTCAGGATGGCATAAATTGTAAGTAATTCAAATACAGGTTTCCTCTGCTATCAGAAAGAGCTTTTCTATTCCTAGGAAACATTTTGTAAGCCAAAACAGAGTAAAGCGAAGAAGCAATTATCATTAATTTATTCAGAAAGTTATTTTGACTGTTTCCAGACCAAAAATAACCTCTCTCAGGCTTTTCTGAGGACACATCTTGCTAAGGGATATACAAAATAAATTGAGGTAAAGCACAGATGCTCACAGACATGGTTCAAAGCTATCACAGCTTGATACTGAGTATAGTTCTGGGGAGGGAGCTTGGTAGGACCACTCTTGCTGCTTGGGTGCCCACACCCTCTGTAACGGCTTGCTGCAACACACACACACACACACACACTGAATGCTATTTTCATTTTTCTTTCTTTTTTTTTTTCATAAAAGTGAAAATCCTCTTTGGATTTCTTTTGGATAGTGAAAACAGGTACCACCACCAGGTCTTTCATAAAAGCCCAGTGGTATAACACAAACTTTTGAAAAGTAGGGGATACCTGTACCTAACATTCCTCAAATCATTGTTACCCCAAAACTATGGAAAAGCTTCTGCTTATTATATTTGTAAAATGTGGACTCCTTAAAAATCTAACTATGCACATAAACTAAACAAAATGTGTAGAAAACAATATAGTTCGTAACAACCCAAAGTTTGTATGTACACAAACAAGGCTTAAAAATCAGTGTTAATTGGGTTCTTTATTCCTAAAAAGTTGTGTGTCATGGCAGACAAGGCACACAAATTTTTAAAAATACTATAGAAAAACTGTTTCCATATGATTATTCACTTATGTCTAATGATTAAATGCCAAGTTTATGTCATGAAGTATGATTGAAAGTACGATAGTATGTCACTTTGCTCAGAGACTAGAGAAAAGTTTTATATAAATCAGTTTAGTGTGTAGGAGAGGTCTCCACTTGTACTGTCAAAGACTCAGACAGGTCCTGATGTTGGACAACAGATGCAGCAGACTGATAAAAGCCTACACACACACACACACACACACACACATACGACTGCAGGGTCCTTCTGGAAGAGAACCCAGATTTAATTACATTGGCCAGCTCTGATAAAGCCAATCAAGTAACAACAATGCCTTAATTATCTTGGGGGAGAAGTGATTCTGAGCATAGGCTGGTGTATGTCACTCAGATCTATCCTTGATCTGACATCCAATAGGGATTCAGAGTAGATGGAATGAAAAGAGAAACCTTAAACACTCGTACTAAGCTTTCTTAAGACAGTGTGCACAAATTAGCTATACAGTTAGGGTACCCCCGCCCACAAAAAGAAAAAAGGGAAAGGAGGCATTTTTAGGACTTTGCCAAAGATCTTTGGCTCTTTGTG